AAAAAAAAAAAAAAAAAAAAAAAAAAAAAAAAAAAAAAAGAGAAAAGAAAGAAGGATTTACGCAACGGGGGAATTTTACGGAACGATTTATTGCTGAGGGATGGGGCCAAGAATAAATATGGATTGATGCAAATGCAACGTTTGGAATTCGCGAATAGAAAAAACAGGGACATGCTCCGTCAAATCGGAAAAATCGTAGTAAAAAATCGCCCGTAACCTGTAACGTTCGGCTATTCCCTGAACTGGAACATCTGTTATTATTTTATTCACTGAACCGACAGTGTTAAGTTACAGAGTAAGCAAGCAACGACGGAAGAACGAAATTCCAAAGAGGATGAGAAAAAAAGGTAAGTCAAAATCGCGAAACTGTTTTTCTTTTTAGATACGAATTTATCGACTCGGCCTGTACTTACAGAGAGGAGGAAACGAAGCGAGTCCATAACTTGGCATAAACCGAGCGCAATCTGAAAGTTAGCCGCGGTTCCCTTTACATCAAACTGAAAGGACTGAAGGGCAGGGAAGCAGTTTCAGGTCAACCGCGTTCCACATGGTAACTCCGCTAACGAGAACGGGATTACCCCGGTCTAGTTTGTTCCCGGTCGAACTTAAATCTCGATCCAAACGAGCTGCAGGTATTGCTTAAGTTTCGCCGCGGAGAAATTCCACGGAGGAGGAGCCGATCCCGCGGCGCCACGTCACCGCTGACCCAGAAATCCTTCTCGGGGATTCTTTTTCGCGCAATTGCGCGTCGATTTTCTATTCATAATCGACGGGCCAAACGGGAAATGATCACGACGACGACGACGAACCAGGACGAGACGCGACAAAGGAATTTTCACCGAGCGAAAGAGGAAGAGACAGTTTCATTATACGCGCGGTTCCGCGGTCACCCCGTCAGGGACCGACCGACAATGCGAACGGAAAGCGCAAATCATCCCCGTGGAATAGAGAGCGGCCCGATTCATTTTAACGACCGTTAAACCGGACGAATGGAGAATGCGATGTTACACTTGACGATCGTTAAAACTTAACGAAATCCAGCCCGCGAGGCAGTAGAACGGGCCAGCGTGCTGCCAGCCTGGAAATCGAGGTCAGCCGTGCAGGGGAGAAAAAAAAAAAAAATCGTATAATTGCTCCCCCTGAAGGCTGGATACGAGGTTACGGCTGGATAACTAGTACCAGTCGTAACTGAAGGCTCTAAGGCGAGATGCTGGACGCAGATTGGACTAACAGTTGCGTTATCGGTGTTGCACAGTCGATGGAAGATATACGCAGGTCGGTGTGGAGTGGGTTAGAGGGTTTAATTAACGTTCGTCGCGAATTGAAACAGGGAGTATCGAGATTTTGTGAAATTCAAGGAATTTGAATTTCTCGTTCGGAACTGGTTTTCCAATTATAAATTAATAACACGTAGGTGCTTTCGGCAAATTTTCGTACAAGAAATGCGAGACTTAGGATTTAAAATTAGTGTAAACTTTATATCAGACTCTGTTCGAATATTTTTGCCATTTGATCGCCGCAAAAGTAGCAATTTCGTGGCGCGAACTACATTAACGTGAGTTTCCAGCGAAATAAGCATGAAGTCATAAATTGGGGTTACTTTCAACAATTTACCGAGTCGCTATTAAATCGACCCGCGTCCTTTCGACTTTGTAACTTTTTAAGAACGACGAGGGGGACCGAACGACGTTTAATTGCCTGTCGAATACGACTTACGAGAAAAAGGGGGGGGGGGGGAAAGGAAAGAAGAAAAAGAAACTGTCGTTCGTTGAAAATAACGGAGAAACACGAGCAAACAGGCAACAAAAGGGACAAATCGCTGGCGAACGTCTATTTTCATTACGTGGAACTGCTCGGTAAACTCAGATCCTTTTCCTCCCCCGTATGCATCGAGTTCTCCAAACTCTCCTAACGTAATTTCACGTTATGTTTAACGACAAGAGAGAGGCACGCGCTTTTGCCTCGTATCGAAAGCAAAATCCAATGAAAGAGTGAGGAAAAGAGAAAAAAAGACGCCTCGAAACGCGTTAACTAACCGTTTCAGTTTCATTTTCAACATCGCGAGTGTGCATCCGGACGATTAAGGTAGCACGCAGATGCAAAAGTTTTCGCCCCTAAATTCGTAAATTGAATGCGCGCTCGCGAGTTACAGGAGCAATGTGAAATGATACGAGCGCATTTCGTCGCGAGATGTGTAAATCGGACGTAGTTACGCGAGTTGGAAAATATCGCGACGAGTGTTCGCATGTTTAGTTGGAGTTTGGATCGTTTGGGAGGGGGGGGGGGGGCTGTTCTCCCTGGTGAGAATGTCTGTTGGCCTAACCCTCTGGAATTAAGCATTTGGGGCTGAGACTGCGAAGGGTTGATGCATGGAAGGTTTTTATTGCTGGGTTGGTCGTAAGCGAAGAATGCTGCGGCCTGTGCATCATGAGGGTGACAATGGGAACCTCGGTGGGTATGTCTTTTTAAATTAAACCGCTTTGGCGTTGCATTTATATTAGGTTCGTACGGCGTGATTAATGGAGATTACGTGACTCGACGCTCTTGCTGAGTAAACTTATTGCTAGTATCTGTGGCTTGGAGGGAGCAAGATCATATTCAAGACCTGTTCAGGACCGTCGCGAATAAAATTTCATTTGGCACGCGAATTTTGTTTCAACATCGTCGTTTAATACTAAATTCATTTGATCGACACTCGATATTTTATAGATGTAAAACAATGTATTCTTGGATACGCTGGTACGCTTGAATGATTCTTCGTAAAATACATAAATGAAAGCTTGTCTATCCTATACTGTATTACAAAGATTTTCTGTTCCTTTTACTTTAATGTTTTCGATGGAAATTTCAGTCGTTCGCAGTTCGAGTGTTAAAATGAAATTTCCACCCATGAAAGTGTTCAGACAATTTTCGTGTTTGAAGATTAAAAAGAATTTTCTCATCGGTAGCAGCAACATCGATCAGGGTGTCTTTGATAATACCACGATAGGATACAAATTACCCCTAATGGCGAGCAAATATCTAGAAAAATAGCCTGGACGAAAGTGTGCGAGCTCTCTCTCTCTCTCTCTCTTTGTTATCCATCGTTCGAACGAGGAAGACTCTCTCGTTCTAGTCTAGTATTTGAGGGTTGTCTACAAACATCCCCGATAAATCCCGTAATCCGGCGTGTCACATTAGAAATACGAATTTCTCGCGTCGGCGTCGCTGCGGCGCGCGCTTTGCCCACAGGAAGATTGCACTTTTTTTATATTACAGGGATCGCCGGGATCCCAAGGCTTCCCGGAGCAACGTAACGCAGACAAATTACACGCGGCGAGGCCGCCCTTTGCCCCGGTTTCCTTTGTGCCTGCACGTGTACAGACCGCTCTGTAATTGGCGATACGTGCGCGCGGCTCGCGATGGGGTGATTCCTCGACGGAGGAATAAAACCGGCAGCGTTTGCCTTATTTATGACGCCATTTTTCGGATTGCCTGGTTAAACGCCTGGTCTATGATCACGGACACGTGTTGGAAAACGCTGCCGGCCGGGGAGATCGGCTCGGATCCAACGGAACGTTCCCAGTTGGCGAGCCATTTGATATTCAAATAACGACCGGGGATTTTTGTTGATGTTATAATTAATCTTAATACACGGGCTCGTCGCGCGGGCTCGAATTATGAAATCCATTACGACATTTCCGCGCATTATGAAAACTGATGGTAAGAAAATACCATTCATAGGGTGGCTGGCGAAAATATATTTTCAACTGTACGTGCAGAGATAGTCTACGGATAAATTAGCTTCCGCGTCAGACGGAACGTTACAACTTCTAGAAGAAATATATATTTCGCCTGGTCTCGTGTAATTTCTAACGTGGCTTCTCTGAATTCGGTTCGAACTTTATCAACGTAATTACACCGTTAATGGAGTCACAAGAAGTTTCGAACATCGTGCGAAAGCTTTCTACGTTAAAGTGTTCGTAATGGAACGATGTACATTTTCTTTTTTCTTTAAACAAAAGTTGCTATCCCGCGTAATGCGATAGAGAAAGATCTCTGTGGTAAACTACAAATCTAAGTCGCAATATACGAAAAATTCCATTCTACGATCCTTCTTCCGCGACGAAAACAGACGAAAAAGAGACGGGCCAAATTTCCAAACGGCACTTCGAACGGCACTCTCATCTGCATTCCGCAACGACAGTGAAACGACACGCAGCGCAGCACCAGCGAACGAGAGACATAAATAATAGAATATACCAGGCAACGTGTTCGAGTTTATTCCCCTGCCAGGTCGGGAGGGGTCAGCTACATTTCGCTGGATACTCACCAATTATGAAGCGGCCTGTATACGTGTGCACACACGTGAACGCACCGCTGAAGTTTCGCCGCTTTCCCTCCCGACGACTCTTCCTTCCCGCGACATGCAATACACTTTTATGCCGCGTGTGCGAGAGGGTGTGCCGCAACCCCCGCCGATCCCCATATATTCCCCACGCGATTCCACCGATTTGATACGCTTGAACCTTCGGAGTCGTTGCTTTCTCCTGGCCCTGCCAGATTTCCCCAGCCAGAAATCTCTTCTCGCTCGGGAAAGAAAATCTCTTCCCGGCGCGCGCGCGCGCGCGCGCGTGACGGACTGGCGATTTTACGGGGCCTCGAGAATTTATTACGAAGGGAATATTCACCGACGATTCTCTTATTCCGGCATTTTTGTGTTTCTTGGATTTCTTTCGATTTCATCCCTTTCGCGTCAGGATCCATTCCCTCGAAATAAAATTTTAGGTAATAATAATAATAATAATATGACGTTGAAATTTACGGAAAATTGCGAATTATAATTATTAATTCGCTCCGATAGATCCAGCTTATATATCGTATGTAGAACAAGATTTATTTGAATTACGATAATACATCATGTTCTTCCAGCTCCTGTTCACAATTTAATGCCAGAAATTTGCTATTTTCTACTTCATCGTTCCTGTAGAACCTGCAAACCACGAGCGTAGCAAATAATTAAACTACTAAATCGTAATTCCAATACAAATACAAAGCTTTAAACACACTCTGTATGAACGACTGTAATTACGAGCGATACGATAAGTCAATATTAATTTTGTGAATTTGCTATTCCGCGCGATTCTAATGATTCTAAATAATCTGCGATCCGTCATTTTGACAAGTTTGATACCATGATCTGCGTACTGAAGCCCTGGAATTTCAATCGTTGACTAGATAATGCTCTTTAATGCGAACGAAACTGTCGAAGAGTCTTTGAGTAATAACGACGTCCTCGTCATTAGCTCTCTGGTCCTCGAGAACGTCGAAGAGCTGGCACGATGAATGGCGCAATCTCCGTCGGGTCCGAACAAAACAATATCGAGGCTGTTCATTAGCAGTGATGTCTACTTAACAAAAGTTCGAAATTTAACGTGGTAGAGAAGGTGATCCTGGGGATGCCGACGCAATGACCCAATTACTGCACTCGTAAAGTGCAACGACGTGAGCCACATGAAAGCCGTGAGCAGCTTTGAGAAACTTTGTTAGTCTCTGGCAGTCTTTCGACACGTTAAGAGGCAATGCTCGGCTTCCCCATGCCTTTCGTTCTTAATTAGTTAAGCCACCTCTTTTTAACACTCGACGACACCATATTATTTCAATAATTATCTTTTTGTAGCGAGTGCTACGTCGAATCTGTGAGAGCAGAACGTTTATCGCCAAGCAAAAGGAGACGAGAGGAAAAATATCTCTGTGTGTATGTATGGATGTGCGTGGGAGAGGATAGAATCACGATGAAACGAAAACGTCGGACGTGTACACCGAACGAAAATTTAATTAAATCCACCGTAAGGTTCCGGCGTTTCGGTATTCGAATCCGATCGCATTAATCCGATCGAGCAAGCAAATCGGTTCCCTAAGTAATTTCATCGATATCGGAACGGACGTTTAATGGCCTCAATGAATTTCCAACTACTTCTCCTTTTTCTCACTCTCTCTCTTTCTCTCTCTTTGTTTCTTTTTATTCCACCTCCCTTCCCTTCGTTTTGTTTCCTTCTTTGTATTATCGATGCGCCGCGCGGAATTTTGCTTTACGCTTCGAATCTCACTCAGCCGACGTTTCTCGTTTTGCTCTCGCGTTAACCCCTTTCGAATTTACGGAGTAACAAGGGAAGAACAACGCTCGCGGAATAATTCATGCCGTGAGGTATCACAGTTTCGATTCGACGATATCAGTCAAATCGGATCGATCTACCAAGTAACGAGTATATCGACCCTACTCTGCCCTGGTCTGACAGAGACTGATCGTTTCTACTTACGTGCATAAGTCACGTAAATATACGCTGTCGCTTAGCTGAAAAATCTCGGAACACTTCTCTTTTTACTTTTGATATTTATCGTAGACGATGAAATTTTAAAATAGCGTGCGCGTTACGATACAATTGGTTGCAATATCGTCACTGTTATTAAAACTTTCTCTGCTGTTAACGTAGAAGCAGAAAAAAAAAATCACTGCGAGACACAGCAAGAAAAATCCATTTACCATGGTGCATGTAACCTGTCGTTCTCGTCGGCGGTTTCCCTATCGTTGCCCCTAAATTTTCGTCGAATGGAACCGCGCCCCCTTAGACGGGAACGTCAACTTCCTCGACGAGTAACGCGCGAGGACGAAACGTCTGTCAGACTGGTTCGCCACGGATCGCCAACAACACGGCCAGCCAGGCGCCGTTTTCCCGAAATTACGCCAATAACCTGTCCGATATAATGTCCGACTTCAGCGTATTAATTAGCCGGAGCAACAACGCCTGGGAACCATAACTCGGCCACGAAGGTACATAGATCCACGATCGAATTAGCAACACCAATACCGGCCTGCCCGTTGAATAATGCACGAGCTGACATTTCGTCCAATAACAAACCGGCCCGTTATTCCAGCGTGGTTATTCTTGCCGGCTGGCTGGAAGGCCATTTAATCGGAAGTACCTTTTCGGATCTCTCGTAGCGTCTCAACT